CCCTCGAAAACACTTTCAAGCTTGCGGAAAGGGAGGGGCAAAAAAGATAAATTAAAATAGCATTAAAAACGTTATGGAGGTCATAGCAGAAATATTCGACATACGCTCAAAATGAACAAATCCTTCCAGCTGGTCGATGTGTCCAATTAGACGCTCACTGGATATCATCTGCGCAACGATTTCTTCCGCCTGAAGACCAATGTTGAGAAGTTAGATTGAAATACCATAAATTCAAAGATTGCTCAGAAATCACAAGTCTGTCCTTATCTAATTTTAAGAATGGCAAAGAAGCCGTGGCAGGGTGCCGTTGGCTGTTCTACCGACTGTTGCACAAGTCCTTCTCAGACTTTCAAGTTGAACTAGCTGAGCTACGAAATTGTGCTGCAAACATTTTACACACTAGACCTATTGACCACCAACTAACAACTGATCACTTTTCCAACCATCTGGAAGGTCTACTTAAAGAGATTGAGCATTGAAACCAACATGGTGGTGAAACGACCTTCGCCGAGTTCTTAGCTCACAGAACTCCAGCACTTCCAACATCCGGATCAGTTAAACTCATTTCTTGTAGGCAAAGGTATGGGGATTGTAATAGTTTTTATTTCGAGCAAAGGACGCTTTGTTTGAACCGAGATATGCGCTTTTGATAGTCAAAATCGGAAACTTTCCAAACAACCCAGTATATAGGTGCTCGACGAAAACCGATTCAGGACTTTGTCACGTTTCCTTTCATAGTGCACGTATCATATTGATACCAGACTCATTGCCACTTTCATCTCCTCCTTGTTGTTTATCGGTGGCTTCTGTTGCCTTATTTCTAGCGCTTCCCTTATTTTCCTTTCGACTGGATCCACCACATTTCTGTGGAGAATGGAGACGAGAAGTTCGGGCGGTCTCTCTGCGAATGGCGGAGTGTGCGATGTCTAGAGAATGGATTTCGGGTAGCTCTGTGGACTACGTAAAGCTCTTCGGTGTTGTGTAGTGGCCTGATGTTTCTCCGATGTAGAATTCGTTACAAGTAAGGCACACCACATCGTTCTCGATACAGCTTATGTTCCTCACAGGTTGTACATTTTATTCTTTCACACCGACTCTCGTATGAACACGTACACTGTTAAACATTGAGCTACACTAAAGGCTAAAGTCAGCTATTTCAATGATTCCAGCGACTCAGGAGCATGGGAAAGTGGCAACTCTCGACGAAATGGTATCCTTGTCGATTCGCTGGAATCGCTGAAATCGAGAAGCCTGACATTGCCTAACTTGATTCGCCCAAGGATGTAGTTAGCTTTCGTTTAGGACCTTTTTAACTATCAAATTTCAACATGAAGGCAGTTCTCACGATAAGATGATAGTAGCGGACAGCTTCCCCTCTTCACGAGCCCGGAATCAACGAGTAGCCTCGGAACCGGCAGGGTCAAGTCGGGAATTTCTAATAACTCCTGACTTGTGGGAAAGCGGGTCCTAAACGGTTTCCTTGGAGTGTCAGTGAGGAGACGAGGAGAACGACTTTATTAACAGCAGCGAATATACAGTGAGACTCCCGTACAGACGAGAGTGTAGGCAGCGACAGAATAACCAGAAGAGAAGTAACTAGTACTGTCTGGGGGCTATTTATAGAGGGGGCTCCCGCTCAAATGGTAGTACGAGTGTGTATGTAGGTCAAGGAGGGTCCAGGCGGACCACACAGTTGGTGGTCAGCCTTAGACCTACCCGGCGCGGTCATACGGTAGACCACACAGTAGCGGCCTACCGTAACCATCATGTACAAGTAGAGGGTACGTCAATACGTCTATGGATAAAAAGAAATCAAGAGACTCTCAGTAACCCGAAAAAAGGACCCCTTTGTGCCCGTTGATTTAGAAAATGAGTGAATTGACCGCTAACATAGATGTCGTTCAGGAAGACAGGAAGGATTTAACAATGACATCATGAAAACGGCAGTCGGTGGAGTTACTGCTCCAATGATCGGTGCAACAGTGTACTTGAAAAAATTGGAAATGGCGGTAACTTCCTCATCACACATACATTGCCAGAATCTTTCGGCTGACCGTGGGCGCTTGAGTCCCAGAGTTGCTATTGAAGCCGTTGATAGCGCACCTCCTGCCGTGAAAATAGCACTACTCCCTGATTGCACCCTCCTACACCATCCATACTTCACTTTCAAAGACAGCAGTTTATTCGCGATTTCTGCCCTCAAAACTAGAAGAGCCTTTTCCGTGAATCGGCACCCGACTCCAGCCCTCTGTCAAGAACGGATAATTGATAAATTTTCAATCAATGTCGACTGACGCAGACTGGAAAGGATAAAGGATAAAGCATTTGCCGTTGATCAATCCCTTTTTGGGATGCGGCACGCATTCTACTTCCATTTGTACATTCGTAGTGGCGTTTGAATGCGATGTGGCCTATACAATGACTTGCGGGGGCCAGCCGATGTAAGTCAGTGTTTTTATCCTCCCAGACAAGTCTGGTACCAATTAACCGACCCCGGAGGGATGGAAGGCTTGGTTGGCCCGGGCGACTCGAGGATTTGATCCCCGGACCGCAAGCGGTAAGCAGCACCACTTGCCATTACACCACTTCCGCCCTAAAAGGAAGAGGTGATACGATTACTTGAAAAGGCTTCCCTGGGTATTTAGTCAGGATCTTGCCTACGCGTGCGTTCGGATCATATCGTCCAGCATGGGCCGCATGTGATTAGCAATCAAACCGTGGCGTTTAACGTACCACTCCCATCTGTTTGAGCCTCATCCACTACAGCATTGTGGCTGAATTTCCCACGCGTACGGGTTATGCTCAAGCTACTGCTTCTGGTTCGGGTCACTGTGGTCGGGTTTAAGAGAAAAATCCATGTGAGAAATTGAAGAGTTCGGGAAGGAAGCATCTCGATGTTTTTGAATGCAGCAGGCGCTGTCAGAGACATGAACTGACTCAGCAATGAAAAAGCGAATATTGAAAAAAAAATTCACATTGCGCACACATAAGCAATGCGAATTGCGGTCTCTTACGAGAGATGATAATGTTGGAAAAATTACCTTATCCGCAGAAATTCCCAACAGCTCAGCAAGCGTAG